GGTTGGCAATTCGCTGAGATTTAAGATGTCTATTTTAGAAGCTTTAAATGATTCTTTAGGTCACCGAAGGGGTTTTTTTTTGAGGGGTGGTGCAAGGGGAGCCCTTTTCCTTTCCCTTTTGTTACAAGGGGTTTGCAGCCACACGGGTGGGGTGGGTTGTTGGGGTCACAAGTGCTTTGGGGTGTTTGACAGGTCGTTTCACCCATTGGGAGCTTCTTCCATTCGCACACTCAGCCCAGAGTCACAGACCGTCTGTGTGCTACAAGTAATCATGGGCTGTGTGGTTTGGGTTGAGATTTGGTTTCCCAGGAGACAGTTATTTCCGTGACAAAGAGCCTCTGTGGAATGTGTGCAGGGAGCGCTGGGAAAACCTTATCCCTGTGCCTGTTGTACAACCAGGAGCAGGAGGTGCTGGATGTGGTGAATCCTGAACCTCTCCCTGCAGTCAGGAGGAGGCTACAGGGAGAGAATTGGCTGAAATGAGCAGGTTTTGGCTCCTGGGTTCTGTACAGAGCACACATCCCTACTGGATGCTCTCTGCTTTGCTGGGAAAATGAATTGGAACACGGTGAAAAGGGGTGTTGGAGCTGAACTGAAATACCCTCTTGCCCTGACTGTTGGTGTCTCTGTGTCTGCAGCTGTATGAGAACTTCATCAGTGAGTTTGAGCACAGGTGAGTTTGTTTGCTGGAGCCCTCAGTCACCTCCTGCTGCCCGACACCACTCTGACAGTGAGCTTTGTGTTCCAGGGTGAACCCCTTGTCCCTGGTGGAGATCATTCTCCATGTGGTCAGGCAGATGACAGGTAAGTGTCCTCACCTCCTACTTACAGTGTTTTTAGCAACTTATGCCTGTGAAGGTGTCAGTTAATAGTAACAGGTATTACCTAGTTAATAGTAACAGCTAAACCTTCAGTCTTCAGTGTTAGCCTGTTGCCTTTCTGGTGTATTGAAAGGGGAGAACATCAGCTCAGAAAGTGTAAGTAATTGCTGCTACATGGAGTAGCAGGTCTGCTCTTTGCTGGAGGAAAGGCTGGTGAGCAGCAAGGCTGGGCTGCAGAGAGCAGCACCTCTGGGCAGTAAACTATAGAAAACACCTTCCTGTCTTCATGAGTCCTGAAAAAGGATCTATTTGTAGGTTGAGATTTAGTTCCATCAGGAATTCCTGATATTGCTGGTTTTCCCCTCTACTTCAGATCCCAACGTGGCCCTTACTTTCCTGGAAAAGACTCGGGAAAAGGTATGTTTGCAACTGCTTGTTCTGGCAGTTCACTTGCAGGAATGGTTTTCCACGTGGGCATTTGTGGTACAGCTGAGGGAGGTGGATGTGTGTGTGTTAAACCTGTGCTGGAGAGTGCCACCAGCAGCTCTGCGTTGTGGCGCAGGAGCATGTTACCAGGTGCAGCACAGCCTGGGTTGAAGGGCCCCTTGGCTGCAGGGCTGGGGGCACCTCTGAGCACGTGTGTCTGTGCCCTGCAGGTGAAGAGCAGTGATGAAGCTGTCATTCTGTGTAAAACAGCCATTGGGGCACTGAAGCTGAACATTGGAGACCTCCAGGTCACCAAGGTGAGGGGGAGACTTGAGTGTTGTCACCACACCACAGCGTGGCCGTGCCTGTGGCTGGGCTCTTTGGGTTCGGGTGAGCAGATGATCGATTTGCAGCTCCTGGGGTTGCCGGGAGGACCTGCAGGTCTGCCTTACATCTTGTAGGCCATATAAAAGCATATATAGTGATTCTGGCCAAATCTCTGAGGTTTCAGTGAGGCTCCGGTGCAGCATTTGAGATGCGGTTGCTTGTTGCTGGTCACCGCAGCATTGATGTGCACCACTAGAAGTGGGGACAAACACTTTGACCTGTTCAAGCCGCAGCTTTGGAGGGTCTCATGAGTTCAGCAGTGTTGCTGCTTGCTGGTGAGCTGCTGACCACGCCTGGACCAGTGCATCCTTCCCTGCGCTAAGCACGTTGGGGTTTCACCTCTTGGCTTTGTTTAGAAGCCTCTCTGAGACCTGAGATGAGTGTTTGTGTGGTGCAGCTTTATGTTGCTCAGAGCAAGCACAGATTTCATGGGTTTGGTGGCTGTAGGTGCATGTAAAGCATGTCTGTACGTGCAGGTACAGCTGCAGGGCTGTGTTCTGGGAGGTGTGGATTTGTTTTGTATTTTTAGCCAACTCCTGTGCCAGAGGAGAACACTACAGCTTTACCTTCAGTGCTGTGTAGTGGCTGTGCCCTCGTCTGCCTCTCTGCTACCACGTGGCTGTTACCTGTGGCCCACACGAGGCTGCTGTAGCCCTTACATAGTGATCTAGGCTGGGAGCGGGGTGTGTGTGAGGGCACCTTCACCTTTCACAACCAGGTCTTCACCCTCCTCCAGGAGACCATTGAGGAGGTGGAGGAGATGCTGAACAACCTGCCCGGGGTGACCTCAGTTCACAGCCGCTTCTATGACCTCTCCAGCAAGTACTACCAGACCATCGGGAACCACGCCTCTTACTACAAGGATGCTCTGCGGTTCCTGGGCTGCATTGATGTCAAGGACCTGCCGGGTAACTCCTCTGCCCAGCACAGGAGGCCCCAGCTTTCTGTCTTTGCTTTATCTCTTCAGTCTAAGTAAAGGCCTTTGAATTGGCCGTAGCTGGGCCGGGGTTTAGCTACAAAGAAGAACCCACAAGAAGAATGGCTGAGTAGGACTGTGCTCCTGAGCTGCACTGAGGTGATGGGAGGGGGGAAATGTTCCCCCTAGAGGAGAGAGTTTGTTCTAGTTCCTCAAATCCTCACTATAGATTCAAACAGTGGCTCTTCTGTGCTGCTGCTGTGGCTACTGCAGGCTGAGCTTCAGGCTTGGGGGAGGAGGAGGCTGGGAGTGATTTAATGCAGGCACAGAGAGGAGGCTGAGGAGGGGTTGGTGGGGCTTAAGTGCTGCTTCACCCACACTGTTGCTTTGTGTTGGCTCTCCCCCAGTATCAGAGCAGCAGGAGAGAGCCTTTACCCTGGGACTGGCCGGGCTCTTGGGAGAAGGAGTTTACAACTTTGGGGAGCTGGTAAGTTGCTGATGCAGCACTTCAGCTGTTCTCAGGGACTGATTCTACCCCGTTAACACCACCCTGCCTGTGCTGCAGCTCATGCACCCTGTCCTGGAGTCACTGAGGAGCACGGACCGGCAGTGGCTCATTGACACCCTCTACGCCTTCAACAGCGGGAATGTCGAGACCTTCCAGGGCCTGAAGTCAGCGTGGGGCCAGCAGGTGAGCAGGGCTGTTCTGCTGCTGCAGGCCTGGGCACGGGCTTACAGAGGGCACTGGGACACTGAATCCATACCTGAAGAATTCCTGACTCTGGTCACTGCACATTCACCTTGATATGTGGTGTTAGTTATTGGCTTTACTCTGTGCCTGGTTGATCGGGAGAAGTAAAGAGAAATCTCTTGTGAAATGAGGGCAAAGCAAACGCATCATGTGGTCCTGCAGAGGGAGATAATCCCTGCTGTCATTTCCATAGTGCCATTCACTCCCAGTATTGAACTGCTCCAGCGTGAGACAGTGGCTTTCCCTTGTGTTCTGGGAAGCTTAAGGAGAGCAGTGGTGTTGGGTGCTGACTGCACTGGCTGCACCAGGCATCACTGACAGGTGAGCTGTAGTTCACAGGTTGACTTGTGTCAAAGTAGTAATGAATTTACTGTTCCATTCCATCCCCTTCCAGCCAGATCTGGCTGCAAACGAGGCGCTGCTGCTGCAGAAGATTCAGCTGTTATGTCTTATGGAGGTGAGCCAAGAGCTGGGGTCTGTTAGACGTGGGAGATGGGAAGGGGCTGCTCCAGCTGCCATTTGGTGGGGGTGAAACAGCCTGTTCCCTGCTGTGTTCATTCACTCACCTCACAGGAGCTCGTGGGTTTAAGTAGTTGGCTGCCAATGTTGCCTCTAGATGGTGCCAGAAGGCAAGTGCTGCTGGGGAAAAGCTCGGTGCTGTGTGCACTAGTTGCTGGGAGTCCCAGGGATGAGCAGTTTCAGGCAGGATGTGCAGGTGGGGAAGGAAAGAGCAAGTTTTGTGTTTTGAGGATGGTACCTGAAGGGATAACTCTGAGAGTATGTTCTGGAAACAAAGGTTTTTCTAAAACACACTACAAATCTTAGTGTCCGAAGGACTGGAAATCCCTCCTCGGACAGGTAACCTGAATGTTCAAACTGTTCCTTTCCTGTCACTTGAAGGCTTTGCCTCTGTTGTGACCAAATAAACCTCCCTGGCCCTGGGTCGTCTTCAAATACTCAATATCAAGTTATCTGAAGCATACTGTATGTCCATATATACCCACGTACCAATGTGCATGTGTTGATGTGTTGTACATTCCACTTCTGGTGTGTCACTGTGAACCAGTGTTACCACCCCAGGGCCCTGTGCTGTGTCAGGGATCTGACTGTGCTGAGGTGGTTCTGCCAAGGCTGATGGGCTGGGGCTGTGCGGCTGCCCCAGCGTGGGGTGCAGGAGGCAGCGGCGCTGCTCCTTTGCTCACATCGGTGTGTCTGTCCGTGCAGTAGCCTGGGGGAAGCGGGGCAGCGCCGGAGCTGGGGCGGGCCGAGCTCAGCAGGGCAGCACGGGGCCAGGGCTCACTTGTTCTCCTCTTTGCTTGGCTGCAGATGACGTTCACGCGCCCAGCCAACCACAGGCAGCTCACCTTCGAGGAGATTGCCAGGAGTGCCAAGGTCACCGTGAACGAGGTGAGCTCGGCTGCAGCCCCCGGCGCGCCGCGGTGTTGGACCCAGCTGCTCCCGGAGGTGGACTCCAGTTTGAAACACTCTCCTGGCTCTCGTGCACTTGGAGAACCCTTTGAGAAGGGATCGGCTGCTTTGGTGCTCCTGGTTCTCAGTTAATATGTTTCTGAGGGTCCTCAGTGCTGGTGGTCAGCTCGAGGAGAGCTTTGCAGGTTGTCTCTTCCCACCTGCTGTAGAACAGGCCCCTGGGTTAGGCTGTGCAGGGACCTGCCTGGTTTGAGTATTCCTAGTGAGGGGAGATGTCACCAATGTTTAACTTCTCTCATGGCGAAGAGTTTTCTGCTGTTACCCAGATGGGATCTGAGCTGAAGCCAGTCCTGCTGTGGTCTCTGTCCTTTACTGTGCAGCCTTGTGAGAACAGTTCCTCTTACCTTCCGTGTTACTGGGTGCTGGAAAACTGTGGGGAGGTGTCCCCAAGCCACCTCTTATCCAGGCTGAACAAATAATGTTTCTTCACCATGTCAGGGGTTCAGCCTCATGGCCTTGGTAGCCCTTGCCTGGGCTCTCCCCAGTCCTGCAGTGTCCCCCTACACTGGAAGGGGTGATGCAGAACTGACACAGTGCTGCAACTTTGCTCCGTAAGTGCTGAGTGGAGTCACCAGGACACGGGTCCCACTGTGGCTCCTGCTGCCCCCCAGACTGCTCCTTCCCCTCAGAGGACACTGTGGGTATATTTGGAGTATACCACAGCCATTACACCTCCCTCGTGCTGCTGCTTGGGTTGTTGCAGGACTCTGTGCTTCGTGTTAGCCCAGCCTGCTGAGGTTTCTCCTCTTGGTAGCTCATTTCCAGCACATTCACCTCTGGTGTGGTGTGATCTGAAACTCTCCTCCAGCTGCTGGAAGGTAACTCAGTGGTACCAGACCCAGTGTTGCTCCCAAAGGAGCACTGCTCGTGACCAGCTGCCTGCTCAGTTTCAGGCCTCAAGCACAAGCCTTTCAGCTCGGTGGTTCAGC